TTCCAAACGGAACAAACGACCCGGTAGCGTGAGCTTTGGTGGCCATACCGAAACTGTCACTCCGTTTGTATGACCCAAAATTCAATCCAGTTTCTGGTGTTGATGACAGTTTCAGTGCGTTTGGATTGGGCAGATTGTTTGAAACACCTGTGCGGTTTGATTCGCTTAACGCCTCAAAACAGCCATGATTGTTCAGAAGAAGAGCAGGTGGCATCGGTACGGGAGCCTCCTCCAATTCATCCAGTAATGAAGAATCTCTTAGCAGTTCCGGATCTGGTGGTAGCGCAGAGAGTGCGTGTGCATCATGAGAACCAAGACCTTCCCTGATCATCACCGAATGATCGTTTCTTAACGATGAATGATGTCGCAAACCGGATTCTCGCAAAGCGGTATTTGGAGAATCGGATGAGTTTTTTTCAGCGTAATTGGCTGACATCCCGAATCCGGCGGACTTGGCTCCGCTGAAGCTTTCGGTCATCAGACTCGGACGTAAAGGTGGCGGTGGTACTTTGGGCGATGCTCGAAACTGACTGGTTGACAGCTGCGGTACGTACATATTATCGGCCGAACTGGGACCACGTGACGGGAGTTGCGTGTCCATCTCGATCTCATTTAACCCACCTGATTCCGGTGTGCGATGTGCTCGAAACTCACTCGCATCGGCCGAACTACTTCCCCCGCTCAGACTGCCAGCACCAAGACCACTCGTGGGGCTGGGCTTAAAGGTGGACATTTGGGCACGATGTGTTGGACCAGCACGTACTCCATTCGCACTGCCACCGCTGGTGGTACTACTTGTACCGCCTGTAGCCATGCGACCCATAGGTCCGGTCGTGGTACGATGTAGCTGAGGTAGNCCATTGTTTCCTGTGATATTCACCACCTCTTGTGACAGGCTAATCATCTCAAACCCGGAAGCCACACCTTCATCGCTATAACCTTCACATGTGCCGACTGAGCCCAGGCCACTCGTATAACCCGGATTACAAGGTCCACTGTTTGTGGGTGACAGACTAGCAGGCCACATATGAACTGGCGATTGACTGTTCGCGTTTGCGCTCTGCATCACAGTCATGTTGGGAAGCGGCTTGGGATACACTGCTGGAGTCATACTGGCTGGTGAGTTCCAGCTCGGTGGTGAACTTGAAATCGCGCCAGCACGATATCCAATCGGTGCGTAGGACACACTGAACTGTGGGATGTTTGCAGGATGTGAATTCTTGCTTGAGTGACCGGCACCTCCAATGGACGAGCCCTCGGATAGCATCAAATACGGGTTGACGGCTGAATCCATGACCATGGATTGTTTTAAACTTCCTACCGGGCCGCTGTGTGTACTACCCATACTGCTACAACTCAATCCGGCGGTCATAGTTTCGACTTGTTGCGGAGATGAACTACCCATCATCAAATGACCGGAATGAACATCCGAATAGGAAGGCAAATAACCAAATTGACTGCAGGGAATCAGAGGAGAACCGGCCGTTAAATTTCCCACTTCACCACTTCCGTTTGTTTTCACTGTACACTCATTACCCTCCACATTGTACAAATCAATATGACCAACACTGGTCTTATTTGCTTTGGAGTAGTGCCTTTGATTGCCCGCTGGTTGTGTATCACGTGAGGCTCGCGTTTGACGACGTTTCTTCAGAGCCAGTAGCACGGTACAATTGACTGCGAATAGCAGTACCGCAATCACTCCCACCCAGATCAGAATGTGGGTGATAAAGTTTGTCGGACGATTTTCTTGTCCATTTATTTGATCATACACTGAAGTTCGTTTGTTTGCATTGTGTCCAGACACAAACATTGTTCGATAATCACTTTGACCCACCGGTGATGACCAAATCGAGTATCTCCCAGTGGCTCCATCAACCTGGAAAAAATGAATGGTTCGTAGACGTTTTATTGGATTTAAGAACATTTGTGAAGTAACTTATTAGGAGAATCGGATAACTATGTCCCGATATCATAGTTCGCTGATATGAGATATTGAATTTCAAACTTCAATCCGTTTACAAAAGACAGCAATGCCAGGATACTGTACAATGTAAATGCGTACTATTTCGTATAACTTCAGATTATAACTAAATCCAAATGCATTCCACCTTGTGGATAGGATGTTTGTAAAAAGTAATACGATGTTTCAATGTATTAAGCAATATACTAGGTTCGTTGAACGACTCAGAGTTGATCCCACTGAGCCAAGGGTAACTATTAGCGATGAGAACGACCGCGACAGAATACAATCAGGAGATTGTATGAAGTGTTTTATGTATTCCAGCTTCACCTACTGATAAATTATTTAGTAGTGAAATACGAAAATTGCTTTTCTTTTGACAATCTAATTAACTGCATGATATGTTGATGGCGTGAATGCTGTTGTTTTTCCTTTCTTTTTCATTTTACTTCCTTTTATTGAATACGCAAAGATACACTTTTCAGGAAGGGGGAAGCGATCAGTCAAAGGACTGCTGTTCGAGATTGTATAACCGCACATCGGTAAAACTTACTTTAGTGACAGCACTCCAGGTGTAGCTAATATCATTTTGCACCCCCAGGAGCATATCTTCTATCAAAGTCAAAGTCAAAGACAAATTTGCTTTCTCCACAAGATAATAATTTATATCACCATCATGCCAAAGGTGATCAGTTGGGGTGGTTTGGTTGCCAAAACCTGAGGAAAACAGAGTAGGGATGATGGATTTCCGTGCACTATATAAAGTGCTTCCAACCTAACCCATCCATCTCGATTGTGCAGTGTAACATGTTTAAAGTACACGACAAAACTC